GTGTCTTTGAAACATACGGGAACGGATCAAAGCTGCAAATATGTAAGGTGAATTTTCCATTTTCATATTTCTCTCATGGTTATTTAAGTTCTTGATTCTGTGAGATGTTTTGTGCTTAATTCCTAATGTGGGCAATGGCAGATGAGCGCGTAAGAACCTTTTCTGAGATGCAAAACACAGCTCAACTTCAGCCCATGTGTCTATTTCCCCTCTAGCTGTTAAATTGGCTGTGTATCATTTGTTTGGAATGAGAAGACACGGCCATGCTCAAGTTTCCTCTCTGCTTTGTACCAAAAGGGAAGCCAGGGGCTTTCTTTAACTTTAAAAGGGATCTTTAGTTCCTTATAGAGAACAATTTATTTTCATACAAGTGTGATAATTTGGGGCCCATCATTTTCAGCATGAATGAATTAAACAAGACAGGAGCAATGACTAAAATAGTAAAATAGCTGCCTCTTTCATTACATGTTTGGCAACACTTGGTTTGACACACTATTAGGTAGCCTTACACTGTTTAAATACTCTGAAATATATATCAACACTACTAAGCTTTGATACCATATTGAAAATCTTTTTTTCACATTGATTTATGCTCACTTATAAATGCACACACAGAATGTCGACACTTAAAACAGATCAGTTTCTAAAAGAATCTGAGTTCACTCTGATAAAAACACCAGATTAATTTGTTTAAAATATTCTATAATCTTAATATCATTATCATTTGCATCTTCCCAGATCCAAGTGTCATATCCAGTTTAAGAACATGAAACAGGACATCCATACAAAAGGGAGAGACCCTTCATCCTATTATTATTTAATTAACTACTATCTAGAAATTGATAAGCATTGACCTTTGTTCTGAAAGATAAACAGACCTGTGAGTTAGTAAGTAAATAAAAAATTTCAGCATGAGGGCTTTTCTCAGCAAAATCTCAGTGGTCCCCTTTTAGCTTATCTGTTCCTCTGGGCTACCGAAGTACAGCTCACAAAACAAAAAGCAAAATGATTTTCCAATCCAGCTGTTTTTAAAAATACATAGGAGAAAACTTTTCTTTAAAGAAGAGCCAGCCTCATGATGACATTCTTGTGGTGCCTAGCCTATGTATAATAAATAATAAGCCATCACCACAGTCTCACATTTCTTTCTTCCTAGGAAAATCAAGAAGTCTGCTCTTTATAATAGATGATCAGACATCTGGAGATACCAGATAAAACTGAGTATACATAACTCAGATTAAAACAAAAAGATGTTGGGCTAGATTATTTTTTAAACTAAGATACTTCTATTTCTCTTTGGCTGAGAACATGAGTTATGCCTGGTGATAGTCCCCCAACATACTAGTCAAACCAGCTGAGTCAGACACTAGGGCACTCAAGAAAATAACCTGTCATCTCAGACATACTTACTTGTTTCTTTTAATTCTAATTGTCCGACCACTGCACAGCATCAATGACAACATGCAAATGGCTGGACAGGTTCACACCAAGGGTCTGCTCTACCAGTACTCTCCCGCCAATGATGGCTCTAGGCGTGACAGCCCGAACTGAGGGCAAGCGTGAACAATACTTCCCCCCATTCCCTACCCCCATGTCTCTACCTCCAGCTATTTTCAGCCCAGTGGAGTTACTGATCCATTTATGGTTTGTCTATCTAATGACATCCTTAGGTTTCCAGTTGGCTATCTAGACTTCTTGCATCCACAGTGCTGTTTGGTAAGGAATGTCATAGGAGTTCTCTGTTGCCTGGAGAATATTCACACTACATAGTCCAATTCCAGCAGACAGCATTTAAAAGAATAACTTTTTTACTATTGGCAGATACAGATCATGTTCCTCAAACCATTTGTTCCTATTTATACAAGAAAAACAATGACACTGTTCTCATCTGCTGGTATAGGAACCTCTTTCAAGACTTTGGAGACATTCACTTGAATGTTGAATGGCTTTAAAAACTCAATGCCCTTCTGAACAAATGTTCTTTCCTTTTAAGCTTCTAAAAACTGATTCATTCTTTTAAATCTGTTGCAACTTTTTTTCTGGAAAATGCACTTCCATGAGCTACAGCGGCCAAGTTTGATATACCTTTGAATTATCCTGCAAAGGGGCTTACTTTCTCAGTCCACAGAGACAAAATCTACAATAGTATTAACATTTTTGGTTCTGGTATCCACAAATACCTTATTCTGAAACCCTACAGAAAATGTACCCTACAAAACAAAAGAATGTTTAACGGATTAAAATATATAGCTTTTTAATTTTTATAAACTGTACAGATAACTGCCACAAATCTCAGGTGTTTTTACCATCTCAATGATTAAATCATCTCTGTAAGTAGCAGCAAAAATTTTATAACCTCTCAGGGCCTGCATCATTAAGTACTGAAAATAACTTGAAGTGCTGTGCAAAGCAAATGGTACAGTTGTAAACTCCTACAGACTCTTAGGAACTTGAAGCCTTTCTTAAGGCAATAGTCAGTAATATTTCACATAAATAAAAAGCTAATTCTCCCCTTTTCATTATCAGATGTTCTAGTCATCTAGTCATTGCTGTGCCTGCATACACCAGGTTGCCTAGACCAACGCATCTAGAATTGGTACATCTCTACCACCTCTCGCCACAACAGGCTTAAAACTAATCCACTGTCCATGAATAACAAGTTTCTCAACAGCAGCTTTTCAATACGGAGCTTGCAATCTGTCTCCCATTCACTTTGTCAAATTATGGTCCACATATCAGCCATTTGCAGCAGTGATATATCTGTCAGGCGTCAAGTACATTTCTTGCAAAGGAAAGTCTTTTTTAGGATTTTTTAACTTTCAAAATGTCTAATCCTAAACATGCAAAATAATGAGTCAGTTGCCAAAAAATCATGATGGGTTTTTTTTTTTTGGTATGTTAATGTCTTTTCCTTTGCTTTCTGGAGCTTTTTCTAGGTCATGTTTTCAAGCTTTTTCTCCAACGCTATAAGGGTTTCAAACATTATTAAAAAGAAAGCAACTGAGATCCATTTGTAATTGCATGTTTAAGAAAAACATTTATTACCATCAGACTTAAACTGCGTTGAACTGACAACCAAGAATCTTCAGAGATGTTTTTGATCAAATAATCCTGAAATAGGAATATTGCTTCAAACCTGCTTTCTCTAGAGTTTTGTTTACATTACTTATGTATTTTTTCCAGATAATTAGACTTTACCAAAAGCAGGTTTGACATGGAAGAAAGTCATGATTTAACATTATCTTGAAAGACTCTTGACAATATCAAAATATGTGAGGTACAAATTATACATCTCAATATGCATACATATATATAGCCTTACACAAACAGTGATTTCTTCACCTGAAATTTGTGATTTTCTCTGCCGTAATACTGAGTCCCCTTGAAATCTTCACCATGGATTTATTTTTTTCAGTGACGAGAAGACAGCTTTGTGTGACAATGTGCATTACAAATCTCTTTAAAACTTCTTCAGATTTCACCTGTTTTGTGGTGGAAATGTTCGTGAGTATTGATAAATGTAACCATTCCTGTTAAACATTACCTCAGCTTATTTTTGTGGCACTCACTAATTTGTTTTTATTTAAAGAAGGAAAGGCATTCCTTTTTTTTCATAACACAATTCCTTTGCTGGGCATTATCTAAGATCAGTGCAGTGTCCTTCCTGTAGTCTATCTCTTCCATCCTTTCTGTCCTGATTAAAACTACCAGAGACTCAGCAGGAAACTCAGTGGGATTGCTCATGGTGTCTTGAAGTCACCCTTTCTTTCACTGTTAAACCTTGTTTTGCTCATCAATCCCTCTCCCGCATCCCATTGGATTCCCAACTTTGCTTTGTCAGCACCCTTGTTTGCAGTTAATTGAACTCCTCTTCATTTTCCCTGCCCCATTCTCTTCCTCTTCCTCCCCTCTTAGTTTACCCATCTCCTCAAGTTTCCCTCCTATGTCTTGTGTCAGTACTGCCCACAGTGCGGCCAGGCCTAAGCACCATGATCTAACGGGGCAGATGCCGGCTGACGAGATGTTTCACTGGTGCTTTATACTTTCCCCTGTTTCCTGGTTTCTGGGGCATACACATGGATCACCGCGTATTTCTGCCACCACAAACTGTGGGCAATGGCTTCCACTCTGCTGGGACTGGAGACTATGGACTCTGCTGGCAGCTCGACCCAGTCAACCTCAGAGGGCTGCCAGAGCAGCCTGACCCCATCTTTGCAACACGGCCGTGCACATGGGCCGGGGGTCTCACAGAGGCGCCTCAAGGGACCTGCCCGCGGCCACACTGGTAGCCTGAGGCGGTCCCAGTGAACCCCTCGCTCTCCCACCGCCACTTCCCCCCGGCCCTCCCGCCCGGCCCCAGCCCCGCCGCGGAGGAGATGCCATAGTAACGGGACGGGGCCGGGCGGCGCCGGGAGCCGGGCGGGGAAGGCGGGCGGGAAAGGGCGGGGACGGCGGCGGGATGGCGGGCGCGGCAGCGCCCCCTCTCCGCGACTCCCAGCCCCGTCCCCGGCGGCCGCAAATGGCTCTTCCTTTGCCGGCCCCTTTGTGTGAGGCACACTCGGAGCAGCAGCTCCGCAGCGGAGCGCGGTGCGTCCCCTGCCGCCGCCCGCCGAGTCGGGCCGAGCCGAGCCGAGAGAGCCGGGCGGCTCGGGGCGGCCATTCCTGCGCCTTGTCGCTCCTCTCACTCCCGGGGTGCGCGGGGGCCCGGCTGCTGTCGCCGCCTCCCCCTTTATCCCCCCCCCTCCCCCAAGGGCCCACTCCTCACTGTGGAGGGCAACCAAAACACACGGCCACCAAAACCCACCAAATAAAAAATAACAACAATCACAACAACAATAATAAAAAAAATAGAAAGAACGGGAAAAGAACAGAGGGAGCAAGCGAGAGGGAGGGAGGGAGGGAGAAGCGAACCAACTCTGAGACTCCCATAAAGAGCGGCACGCACGGAGCGAGCGCCCCGGTGCCGATGCGTGGGGGAAACAATAAGTACTCGAAGTTACCTGCCCTGCCGTAGAAGAAGGAGGGTTCGTGGGTTCTCTCGCAGACATCTGCAGACCGGTGCTTTTTTGGAAGAGATTTTTTTTTTCCTCTCCTCTCTCTCTCTTTACAAACCACAAACGGATGTGAGGCAGGGAAGGTGTTTGACTACTGAAGTCAGGCACCTCTTTTTTATCCTTCTCAGTCTTGTGTGTCCCCCCCTTCCCTCACACACACATACACTCACACACCCCCCTTTTTTGCACCAACATTAACGACCAAAAGAAAAGGAAAAGAGTTTGCTTGATGTTTTAGTGAAATGGACGTAAGATTTTATTCACCACCTCCTCAGCCTGCAGCCGCTCCTGATACGCCTTGTTTGGGACCTTCCCCCTGCCTGGACCCCTACTATTGCAACAAGGTGACTCGTGTTTTGTGTCGTCCGAGGTGTTTTATCTGTGCTGTCGGTGTGTGTGGTTGTCGCGGCGTGTTGCATGAGCGGGCGCTGCGCTTTGGCGAGCGGCGCACCAAGTTCCCCGGCGAGGCGGAGGGAGGGCAGCGGTACTTGCCGGGGCTTGGGGTTTGGGGAGCGCAGTGCCGCCCGCCGCGGAGCGGTGCCGCCGGGACACGCACCGGCTCCCCCGCAGGCACCCCAAATTAAACCCCCGGAGTAGTCTGGGGGCGGGCGGCTGGAGCGGGGGGCTGGGTGGGGGAGGCATTTTCCATAACATCTTTTCGGAGAAACGGCGTGGACGGGGATGCTGATACGGGGGACTGGAATTTTCAAGGCTGCTGTTAATGAGAAAGATCGCGCCCCCCACAAATGGGCAGAAACTCTGCCCCACAGTTCGTGTGTCAAAGCGGTACTTGGCGGTGCCGGGAGCGCGTTTGGGTATCTGTGTGTGTATGCGTGTGACATACATACATATACACATCTCTCTATATGCACAGTAAGTGTGTATAGTGGTGACAAGTCGCTTCAGAACATTGGCTCGACACTGTCCCAGCTGTGCAACTGCCTTACCAATTTCTCTGTAACTTGATTAAACCTCTGCAAATAGGCTCAGTACCTGAGGAGACCTAAGTTTTAGGTTCCCGAGCCCAGGGGAAGGAGGAACCGCAGAGGAGGCCCGCGCTCGCCCAAATCCTGAGTCTGGTTCCTAGAGTTTGGTGCTACGATCCGGGAACACTTTGCGTGACTTTTGCTGCCGAGGAAGGGGGCTGGGGTTCCTGCATTGTTACTGCCGCTGTGGCCTGAGCCAGCTGGTGCTTTATGCATGAGCTGCACTTTCTCTGCTGTTACGGAATGGGCTTTGCACATGAATAAAACGGTGGCTGTAGGAAACGATCGGGAAGTGCGACTTGCCCAGAGCACTCTGAGCACACCCCGGCCAAGGGGGGAGCAAGCCGGGAGAGAGCGATGTGTTCAAACCTGCGCGCTCGGGCGCTCGTTCGGGAGCCCGCCGTGGCAGCCCGTGGGGGGCTGCGGCAGCAGATGGCTTTTGGCAGCGCAAACCCCGCCGTGCGCAGGCTCCGCAGGGCCGGCCGCGGGTGCGGGGGGCGGCGGGGTCCGGGGGGCGCGGGAACCCGCCCGGCCCGGCCCGGCCCGGCTCGGCCCGCGGGGGACAGCCCGGTCCCGCGCCCAGCTATTGTGACGGTCTCACGTGTCAGAGAGACGTTCCGAGCCGTCCCTTTCATCCCGGGCAGCTGCTTCGGTTCAGAGATAAACAGCAAAATAGCCTGTGTCTGTGCTGAGGCGCGGAGGCTGCGGCGCCCGGGTGAAGCCCTCTCAGTTTTCCGGAAAGATTTCCCACATGGTCGCATCTACCAATCACAACAGAAAGGACCAAATTCATCCTGGCTGCATTTCACAAATACTCAATGGAGTTATAGAATCCAGGGATAAATCTGGCCCTTTGTGGTGGATGCCTAAGGATATTTCAAGAGAGATCCCAGAGGTATGACTGTTAGCACTGTTTTAAGTAACTGTTTTGCAGCATCTGGCAAACCTGCCCTATAGATTGGAAGTTTGTGCCAGGAGTGAACTTTGTTCAGCAGGAAGAGTTCAGATGCGTAGGAGCATTTATGTGTGCATTATTTTTTTGTTAGTGCTCTGAGTAATCATGGGGCTACTGCTGCCTTTCTTCTGTGGCTTGCTGTTATTTTCTCTCTTGTCAGTTTTGTAAATTGTAACAGTGAAGTGTTGCCATGTGAAAAGCCTGGGCTAATATTAATGACATAAGCACCAAAGTGTTTGACGACCCGTTTGGCAGTGAAACTGGACAAACGTTATTAAACCTATCAATGATTTAAAGCTTCAGAAAGAAGGTAATGACTTGAATACACATTTCAGTCATCATTTTTGAGATAGTGGACCAGATTTAATTTAAAAGTTAAATGCTTTGGAAAATCAGGAATTACTTTAATATATTAAATCATTTTCCAATTAAGTTCCTTAAATAATTTTTGGTGTGTTGCTCTGCAAATCGAATAAATTAATTTAGAAAGTAGTTTCCAGAATTTCTTTACTAGCTGGCTAAAGCTTCTTTCAAGTCATGCCATGTATGAGAGAGCAAACTGTTCTTTTTAAATGCAAATGAGACACTCATTCTGTAGACAAGTTGCAACTCTTCTATTTCACTTTGCCTGAACTGATAATGTGCTTAAAAGTGCACAGTCATAAGACATATGTTTTATGCTTGGAAAAGACTTACCAAGAATGTTTCAGTATAAGATACTGAATATTGAACAAATGTCTTTTTCAGATGTCTTTGCCACTGACCACTGATTACATTAAATGGACAGAGTAGGTTTGCCAGGCCCCTTTGGAGGCATACACTTAGTGAACATTTCGTTTTTCACCCCCTTCACCCAGCATGATTAACATTGCTGTGAAAACTTATCTGACTTGTTCTAAACATGTCGTCATGTTACAGTATTGCTCTGTCACTCATTTTCAGGCTCTGTGTATCTAGGGAGTTTGAAGGGCAGGAGGCCTGCAGAATTTTGTGTTCAGTATATTGGGTTGAGTGTTTGCTTTTGATCTCTCCCAGGAAAGGAGATGGAGATGATGGAGTATGATGGATCCACGCTCTGGGTCAGAATGCTGATCTTCATTAGGTCTTTACTTGCAAAACTCATTCAAAACTGGATTTTGGTTCTTGTAAAGTTAGTTAAAACTTGCTTTTGGCCCTTATTAGAGGATTTGGCCCTATTTTTCATACCTGGGTTTTGGTGATGTATTTTCTTTTACAAATTTGCCAGACTTTGATTCTTTACGTTTTAAGTCTGCTTGAGCTGCTGGTAATTTAGAATGTATTCCACAAATACTTAGCCTTTTAGGTTTTCTAGTTGTTCTGTTAGCATTAGTTTTTTTCCTGGTCAGATGATTGCTCATAGCATAAGAGTTCCCAGGCACATGCATGGGAGGTATTGACATGCACATTTCTGTAGCCAAAGGAAAATGCAATAATGTAGATTCAAACAATCACCTCTTATCTTACAATTTTCAGTTGGCAGGCTTTGTTTCAGAAGACTGCTTAGATCTTTATTTTATAAACCTAAAATAGCATTCTAAGCATCTTAGCCTAATATTTCTGTATCTGCTGTGAAAGCTCGTTATATTCTGCATATATTGTTATGCAGACTTTTCCTTGTTTTTTTTGCATTACCCATGAAGAGAGAAAAGTGAAAGAACAATGCAAACAATGTTGGTTATGACAACTGTGTGAGGTATCTCTTGTACAAACAGACAGAATGGACGGTATGCTGCGGTATATAGGTCAGCCTTTGAAATAACATAGTGGAGCTCTTACACTGGACAGATTTAGGATTGGGGTTGTACTGTTCGACTCTTGAAACTTGAAGCATAATTGCATTTCAGATATGTACAGGCTAATGTGAATAGTCTGTTCGGTTGAAGTTTATTTTGGGAACCATCACATTCCATAATTGAGTTGAATGCTATAAAATCAAATAACTTTGATAATCCAAGTGTCTTAATTTGATAGAAGAATATGGCCACTGATTTTGAGCTGCTTGAAGAAGTAGGATGATAAGTTTAAATGTTTATGTAAAGAGCAATAAATAACGGCCTTGTGGCTTTCTACATTGAAGTGTCATCTCCAAAGACTGCTTTGATCAGTACTGTAAGAAGGATTGGTATATTTTAATTTTAATACTTGCAACTTTGCAGTGTTTTCAGATATCTGCTCACATAAAGTGCAGTTATATAATTATAGTTTGACACAGCTAATGACAGGGATGCTGACCTCTGCCAACAGTAGGCAGAAAATAATGGTCTTTACTGCTCCCAATGGTTAGCCCTGCAGAATTATGCACTGGATTCTTCTGTGATTTGCTACCTTGTTCAAAAATACGGGAGCCTACAACTCATCTTTCTTGTATTCACTGGTAGTTGTCAGTGCAGTGGAAAAATACAGCCAGACAGCAGAGGTAAAATGATAGACTGTAGTTGTTTTTAAAGAGAGGAGTAAGAGGAAAAAGGAGGGAGAGGGAAGCAAAACCTTTCAAAATGAAAAAAACAGAGTGACACTGGGTAGAAGTGGATAAGGAGATATAATACAGTGCTTTGTAAGCAGGTAACAATCCCACTCGTAATCAGAATTCCACAGAGCAAAAATGCATATATTTATACTTGGCATTTAGACTAATTTATTGTGTAAACTTAACTCTACCATAGAGACTACTTTAAATAAAATGTTCCATGGCTGTTTACAAAGTGTACATTATTTCCAGTGGCATGCTTCCATCCAGTCTCTATCTGAAACTCAGAATTGTGGCAAGCAAGTGCTCTGAAGGGCAGCTCTAAAGTTGAAATGCTGTGTTACTGTTTTGACAGCATTTTAGATTATACTCATATTGTTTATTCTGGACATATTTTTTTCACTTAGAGAACCACCTTGTCCTCTACTGCATTAGAATCATACTTTAAATTTGTTGCTGTTTTTTAAAGGAAAGATTAAACAGTTGCATTATGGCTGACTGTTGATTTTCAAGTGTTAAGTGTTTTAGTTTCAAAAATACCACATAGGAAGAAGGGAAATGGACTTTTCTTTCCTGTGTTAGTATGTAGTCTCAGAGTTTTGGGCAAGCCCCAAGTGTGCCTCCTGAAA